AGCCATAGGATCCATTTTATTTGTTAATTTATATCCATCCATCCATTTTCTTACACGCTTATCCCAAGTGGGTTCGCGAGGGAACTGCGTTCAGCCTCTGAGGCTGCTCCCTGTTCCTGGAGACAGCTGTCCTCAGAGGACTTCAGGGACAGAAACTGTCCACCAGAAAGCCCAGATACGTCAGTTCTGCTTCTAAGACATTTTCACAAACGTCCAGAAGCATAAAAAGACATATTTTACCCAATCTAGGCTACTCATCCAGGCATGTTTATCTAATATAAACAATTTAAATAATAATAAAATAACCAATTTAAACAAGCTTTTTAATTCAGAAGTATATTTTCAGGCTGATGGAGCACAGAACTGCAGCTGCTCCGTCCTCAGGAAGCTTCTTTCAGACTGACACATTTATTTAATTATTACAGGAGAGAATGAACAAAGCTCCGGTTTTCAGGTAAATTTCTTCATTCTGTTGAATCAACAAGCTGATATTGTTAATAGAATATTGGCTCCATGGTTTCTGCTCTGTCAGCTTGGTCTGAGGTTCTGATTTTATCGCTATTTTCTGTAACTTTCTGACATTTTCTCGAACGGACCAGAGGCTGGTAGAATGTTCCAGCGGTGACGTCACGGCGCATTGCTCCTTGCTGCGCTCTGATTGGACGAACTCTGGAGAAGCAGCTAGAAGTGAGTGAAAGGCTTTAAATAGCTGTGAGGCTGAGACTGAGGCAGTTAGAGACAAACAGACCTTTAGAGGACTTCAGGAGAGCTCCACAAGAGGAGAAGAACCTAGAAGCTTTTCTGCAGAGGAAGCACTGAACTACAGTAAGTTCTCCTTTCATCATCTGCTGCTTCACACTTTTCTTTTTTGTTTTTACAGCAATAACTAAATGAATGATCTCGTTATTAAATAAAAAGACAGAAACAGACTTTTTAGAATGTAGATAAAGAGAGATGAACAGATTTGTAGAACCAAATATTCTAGTAAACATCTCTAAGGCTCTTTATGCAGCATTACAACACCTGTTTTATTCTGGAAATAAGTGTTATAAAGTGATAAAATAATGTGAAATTGAAAGCGTTTTCTAAGTGGATAGAAATATCTCCTATTCACTTTATTCCTCTGTCTCTTTCCTTGTTCCTTTGCTTTTTTAGGACTGAAAGAAAACTGAGCCAAGATGTCTAAAAACAC